ATCATCATCATCATCAAGACAATCATTTCAAAACATCCTTCCATTCTCCGAGGGCTGCTTTGGTTAGTAACAATGGTAGAACGGAACTTGGAATTGGTACGACGAAAAAGCGATTGTCCACCATTGATGAAGCTGTTATTCATCATTCCTCTGCTCATGGAAGTACGACGGCGTCTTCTCCTCTTCCATCGCTGCCGTCGTCATTCAGTGGCACTTTCAAGATGGCCACCACCAACAATGCCACTACTATTGATGATATCAAGCGGTCGCATCGTAGGCAAAGACGAATGACTATCGAGGCTTCCTTGGATCGTTTTGACCCACAGATGACTGATACCGAGCTCAAATCGGCGCCACGATTATTGGCGGACGATGAACCAATACAATCGCTACCCCCAAAAACACCAGCCTCTGCACCCCCGGTTACTTCGTTCAATGATTCATCGGGAATGACCTCTAAAGAAGCATCATCAAATCCACCTTGCGAGGGTGGCTTTAATTTGGTCTTGCGTCCAATGATGCGACAACCAAGTGCACTTACGTTTTCACCATTTGATCTTGACGACGACGACGAAGATGTCGATGTCGATGACGACGTGGAATCGGTCACTGGCAAAGAGAATACTGCGAATAACACCACCAACAACAAGAACATTATTGTCAGTCCGAAACCAATGACAAATACGATCGAAACTAAGATTTCCACAAATGTTGAGTCATCCAACTACACCAATCCCAAAATTCAGACTTTGGCTCCATCCACAAGCAAAACGAGCAAGTCCAAGAAGGATCGCAAGACAAACAAGAAGAACAAGAAGAGTAGCGCTGAGATCAGACCTTTGCTTCCTTCGAGTGGAACTCTTTCTCGACTCCCGCTAGTCACTTCCAAACGGAAAACCAAGCGAGCCTCCACAGGATCCGCCTTGACAATGGAAGATGTTGGGAATCATTCTTCTACTACTGACACAAAAGCATCGCTGTCAATAGCACGGGATGGATTTTCCAAGTCTCGAAAAGGAAGAAGCAAGTCACCATCGTCGAGACTGCAAGAGGGCAAGAGGGAATCA